GTTCTCGGGGGTGCACACCATGTAGCTGATGCCCTCAAACCCGGTGCCGTTGTGCAGGCCCGTGTTGCCCATCATCACGGTGGTGTCGACGTAGACGGGGTAGGAGGGGTCCTGCACCGCGATGGTCTTGTCGGCGCCAAACATGACCTGGGGGGACGTCAAAGGGGGCGGGGGCGGGGGCGGGGGCTTGATGCGGGCAATCAGTATGCAAGCGGTGGTTGGGGCGACGGCTATCGAACAGTTTGGAGCAACGCTGCATGCGTTCCAGGCCGTCCCTGCCTGCAAACGGGCCCGCTTTGGGCACCACCGCCGTTCGAAAAGCTCAACTCTTGTCGTGCAAATGGCAAGAGACCGGGACAGCTCAGAGCACCCGGCCAGCCGGAAGACGCGGGGTCGGGTGTGGGGGGAGGGGAGGGGGGAATGACACACACAACACACACACACAACACACCTGGATGCGCGAGATGTCGCACTTTGAGCCGTCACTCACGAACACCTCGTCAGCAGCGACGAGGCCGGGGTAGAAGGTGGACGCGATCGCCTCGCGCAGGGCGCCCTGGCCCTGCTCTGCGCCGTAGCTGGAGGGATGCATCGTGTGCGTGTGTGTGTGTGTGTGTTCAGGAGAGTGTGTTCGGGAGTGTGTGCATTTGTATGTTGCGAGGAGGGTTGTGGGGAAGGCGGGAATCGGGGCGAGCGGTTGAAACCGGGTGCCAAAATGCCGTCGTTCCGGAAATAGGGCAGCCAGCGCGCGGCTCCCTGGGCGCCCAGGGCGATGCGGCGGACCGCTGCGGCCCTTCTTTGAACGCCGACGGCGCAGGACGGCGCGCCGCGAGCCCGCCGCGCGTTCATGACCACGAGCGCGAGTCCCTCCTCTTGTCAACCCCCTCACCCGCTGTATCCCTCGCGCGTCGCGAGGCCGGCCGCGGCCTGGGCCATAGCGTTGGCGATGTACGGGGGCAGCGGCTCGGTGGTGTCGCCGATGCCCAGGGAGATGATCTGGGCATCGGGGTGCGCCTCCTGGTGGGCGCGGCGCCGGCGCGCGATCTGGGGGGATGGGGGTGGGGGTGGGGTAAGGGGCGAAGTCGGCGGGGTGACAATGAGAGAAGCTGCGTCACGCAGGTGTGTGGGGGTGGGGCCTG